ACGGGCGGCCACTCCGCGCCGCAGCACGCAGCAACCCGCCAAACCCTAAACCCTAAACCCTAAACCCTAAACCCTAAACCCTAGCGCACCATCGCCAGGGGGGAAAGGTCCATCACCTCGCGAGCCCTGTCTCTCAAAGTGCGGCAAAAGAGCTGCCCAAACGACTCGTAAGCTTCGAGGGGGTAGCGGCTGTCTGCTGCTGCACTTGGCTGCAGCACACACAAACCCTGATTTAGGGTTTCGGGTTTAGGGTTTAGGTTTAGGGTTTCGCGCGGCCGCAACGAGCGCCCCGCGCCTGGCCCTAGTAGTTCAGGGTTTGGGACTCAGCGCCAAGACCCGCCTGGCGCCCCCAGGGCCCCCACGCGCTGCCTAGGGTTTAGGGTTTAGGGTTTAGGGTTTAGGGTTTAGGGTTTGACCTGCAGCCGCAGAAAAAGGGTGGTTAGCAACGGCCTCAGAGACGAAGGAATCTTCACCGACATTAAACGCCCCAGCAGCCGCGAGCGGGCGCGGCCAAACACCAGCCGCAGGCAAAACAGCTGCATGCAAACCCTAAACCCTAAACCCTAAACCCTAAACCCTAAACCCTAAACCGTAACGACTGAACCCGAAGCCGTAGGAGCTACTTCGCCTCTGGGAAGGCTCCGCCGCGCGCTCGCACTTAGGGACTACGACCTAGGGTTTAGGGTTTAGGAATTAGTGTTTAGGAATTAGGGTTTAGGGTTTAGGGTTACCTGCAAATGTCGTGGTGAGGGTTTCCAGGTTCATTAAATCCAAAACCCGCCAGCAGCCGCACGCAGCGAATTGGCTCCTTCAGCGGCAGCTCCCCTGCAGCAGCAACCCTAAACCCTAAACCCTAAACCCTAAACCCTACGCCCTAAACCCTAAATCCTGGACTCTAAACCCTAGAGCCTGGGGACAGCAGTGTGGGTCTGTGGCCCTTCAGCTAGCTAGCTAGCCAGCCAGGCTGGCTGGCAGCACAGTGCCTAGCTAGCTAGCTAGCTAGCTAGCTAGCTAGCCAGCCATTCAGCTAGCTAGCTAGCCACTCAGTCTACCTGATTGCACAGTGACTAGCTGGCTAGCTAGCCAGCTATCCCGCTACCCAGCCAGCTAGCCATCTACCTAGCCAACTAGCTAGCCAACTGGCTAGCCAACTAGCTACCTAGCTAGCTCTCCAGCTATCCAGCTAGCTAGCCAACTAGCTACCCAGCTAGCCAGCTAGCCAGCTAGCTAGCCAGCCAGCTAGCCAGCTAGCCAGCTAGCCAGCCAGCCAGCTAGCCAGCCAGCCAGCTAGCTAGCTAGCTAGCTAGCCACTGACCTTCGGGGTCGCAGAGCTGGAACATTCGAAGTTGGGCCTCCAGCCCCAAGTCTGCGAAGGAGCCAACGGCGTCTTTGGCGCATGCAGCAACCCAAGACAGCCCCAGGCACAGCTCTATTTGCTGCTGCTGCTGCTGCTGCTGCTGCTGCTGCTGCTGCTGCTGCTGCTGCTGGAGGGCTGCAGCAGCAAAGGACTGGAGAGAAGCAGCCACAGACTGCCCCGGAGCAGCAAGAGCCGTGCATGCTGCCCACGCCGGGTGCAGCAGACCTGAAGAGCAGCAGCAGCAGCAGCAGCAGCACAAGTGCTGCAACAAGGGATGCACCTCCGAATACAGCAACAGCAGCAGCAAGTGCAGCAGCAGCAGCACAAAGTGCAACAGAAACAGCAGCACCAGAGCAGCAAGGGCAGCAGGAGCAGCAGTGCCAATGCAGCAAGTGCAGCAGCAGCACCAGTGCAGCAGCAGCTGCTGGGGTTGTAGCAGCAGCAGCAGCAGGAGGAGCACCAGCACCACCGCCAAGTGCAGCAGCAGCAGCAGGCGCTGCAGCAGCACGTTCTGCTGCAGCAGTTGCTGCAGCGGGCAAGAGGCAGCTGCAGCTATAAAGGATACAGCAACACGAAGCTCCGTCCCAGCAGTGCAGAAAATGGAGTGTAGGGTTTAGGGTTTAGGGTTTAGGGTTAAGATGCACCTGGAGACTCAGCAGCAGCAGGGACCGCCAAAAGAAAAAAAATCAAAGAGCAGCAAACGCTCAGTCCAGAGGCTCTGCTGCATCTCCAACTGCATTTGCTGCTGCTGCTTCTGCTGCTGCTGCGCTTGCAGCTGCTGCTGCTGCACTGGATGCTGCTGGTTCTGCAGCTGCCATTGCTGCTGCTGCTGTTGCAGTTGCTGCTGCTGCTGTTGCTGCTGCACCCGAAACTGCTAGAGCAGTTTCTGCTGCTGCAATTGCTGCCGTAGTTGCGGCTTCTGCTGTTTTCCCTGTATTCACTGCTGCTGGTGATGCTGCTGTAGTAGCTGCTGCTGCTGCTGCTGCGGTTGCTGCTGCTGCTGCTGCTGCTGCTGCTGCAGGCTGCGTACGGCGCGCCCGCGTTAGCCGACCTGCTGCTGCTGCAGCCCTCGAGCTCCATATCGGTGCAGGGATGTGCTGCTTAGGGTTTTGTCGAGGGTTTAGGGTTTAGGGTTTAGGGTTTGGGGCTTCTGGTCGGCGGCGGCAGCACTTGAGTCTAAGGGCCAAAGACAGGGCAGATTTTCCGTAAAAGCTAGGGTTTAGGGTTTAGGGTTTAGGGTTTGGGTTTAGGAATAGATAGACCGCCGGCAGAGCCACAGTGACATCTGCAAGGCGTGGGGCCCCAACCCCTAAACCCTAAACCCTAAACCCTTAGCGCGAGAAGCGAGTTCAATAGAATCCCTTCAGGCTTGAAATAACAACAAAAAAGGAAAGAAAAAAGGGCACTAAACGGCGAAACAGATCAGGGTTTAGGGTTTAGGGTTTAGGGTTTAGGGTTTAGGGTTTAGGGTTTCGAGGCGCCCCGCCGAGTGCGGGCTCACCGCGCAGGCTGAAGCCTCTCTGAAGTGGAAATCAGGGTTTGCTGCTGTTTGTCTAGGGTTTAGGGTTTTTATAAATTGTTTGCTGCTTACTTTTGAGGGTTTGGGTTTGGGGTTTGGGGTTCAGGGTTTAGGGTTTAGGGTTTAGGGTTCGCTCTGCCTCCCTAGGGTTTGCACCCGCCCAACTTTATTCTTCCTAAACCCCCGAGCTTCTTCCGCAGCAAAAAGAAAGTTGGAAGCAGCAGCGCAACGCCAGCAGCCGCAGCAGCTGCAGCAGCTGCAGCAGCCTCAACAGCAGCTGCTGCTGCCCGTCCGCGGCGGCGGCAGCAGCAGCAGCAGCAGCAGCAGCGGCTGCTGCTGCTGCTGCTGCTCCCGCAGCAGCGCCTTGCCTTCTCCGCCTCCCGACCTCTTCCCATTAGCCTACTGGGAAACTCCCTGCATGCCATTCTGAAGCTTAGGGCTCAGGGTGTAGGGTTTAGGGTTTAGGGTTTAGGGTTTAGGGTTTAGGGTTTGGGGCCATGGTGCGGACGAAGAACCGCTGGGTGGTAGGAGAGGCGGAGTGGACATCTTCGAAGCGAAAGGGAGAGCCCTGGAGTCTCGAGGCCTTCACAGAGGTAACCACCAGCTAGCTAGCTAGCCAGCTAGCTAGCCAGCTAGCTAGCTAGCTGGCTAGCTAGCTAGCTAGCTAGCAGGGTAGCTAGATAGCTAGCTAGCTATGTGTCTAGCTAGCTGTTTGGCTGGCTGTCTCTGCAGCTACCTGTCTTGCTGCCTCTCTCCCTAGTTAGTTAGCTAGCTAGCTAGCCATCTCTCTAGCTAGCTAGCTAGCCATTTCTCTAGCTAGCTACCTGGCCATCTCTTTAGCTAGCTAGCTAGCTAGCTAGCTAGCTGTTTGAGCGGAGAAAGAAGCAGCACCCATAGTGAGCAGCTAGCTGCCTGCCCGGCTTGGCTAGCTGCGGCCAGCCAGCGCCTGCGGGCTGCCCGCTGGGGGCTGCGGTGGCAGCCCAGGTAGCTGGCTAGCTAGCTAGCTAGCTAGCTAGATGGCTGGCTAGCTAGCTAGCTGGCCAGGTGGCCAGCTAGCTAGCTAGCTAGCTAGCTATCTGGCTGGCGAGCTAGCTAGCTACCTATCGAGCCACTTGCCCCACTAGCCAGCTAGCTGGCTAGCTAGCCACATGACTATCTGTCCAGCCAGCTAGCCGTGCAGCCAGCTAGCCAGCTAGCCAGCTAGCTAGCTAGCTGGTCGTTGTCTCTGCAGGCCCTCGAAGAAACGGCGAACGGCTGCTGGGGAAGTTTGGGAAGTTCTTTTTTGCTGCCTTCGCTTCGAGTGGTTTATTTGAACAGGACTTCTGGGGTGTACGTACTCCAGGTGGCTCGGGTGAGGCAGGAGCAAAGCCAAGTTGAATTATTTATTTATTTATTTATCATTTATTATTTATTTATTTATTTGTAATTTATTTATTTGTGTATTTGTTTGTTTGTGTCCAAATAAAGGAAACATTTATTAACAAAGTCTTATTATAAATTCTGCATTTAAAATTCTGCATTTAAATGTATAACAGGTTTGCATTGGAGGCAGCAAAGAAGGCGCCGAGGTGTCTGTACACCCGAGCGTGCGTCGGTTTTTGGGGTGTCTGTACACCCCGCGGTTCGTTTTTTTTCGTTTTTCGATTTTTAAAATTCTCTTTTTAATTTCTTTTCTTTGTTTTTTCAGTTCTGCGAAAAAGAACTAATGCTCGTTCTCGCAGCACTGAACTCCGTGGGAGGCCGCGGCTGCCGCCTCCACGTTTTGCATGTCGGAGGAACTTTTAAAAAGGCGCAGAAGAGCGCGGAGGCTTTGGCGGCCGCTGCGGTGTCTAGACACCTCAGCGCCGGCGGCTGCGGTGTCTAGACACCTCAGGCGGGCCGCCAGAAGCGCCGTTTAATTTCCCTCAAGTGCTTTTCATTTCTTTCTTTTTTCCAAATCTTTTCAACTCTGTTTGCTCTTTTAATGCAAGTTTGACTTTTATTTACGACAAGTTTCGAATTCGCAGCCAGCTGCGCAAGAGAATTTAAAAACAAACTTCAGATTCTTTTTTTTCTGTTATTTCTTTCTTTTCTTTTTCTTTTTAGTCCTTTTCTTATTATTTGGTTTAATTCCTCATTTATTTATTTTTATTTATTATTTCTTCTACTTTTCCATTTATTTCTTACTTGTTTTATTTCCCTATTTATTTTTTGTTTTACTTTCTTATTTACTTATCATTTGCTCCATTTCCTCACTTACTTATCATTTTTTCACTCTCATTTATTTATTATTTGTTATTTTTATTTACTTTTATCCGTTTTATTTTCTCATTTATTTTTATTCATTTTATTTTTATTTTTATTTTTATTTTTTAATTTTTGTTTTTATTCATTTCTTTACTTCCCACTCTCAGTTTGCTTCTTTGCCCCTCAGCCGCATTCTCTGAATTAATTTGTTTTCGCTTTTTATCTTTTTAATTTTCATTTATTTCTTTTTATTTTTAATTACTTTTTTATTCCCAAATTTGTTTAATTAAATTAATTTGTTTATTTGCTTGTGCCATTTTGTCTTTGCTGCTGGTTGCTTCTTTTGCTGCAGTTCAGCAGCAGCAGCAAAAAAGACAAACTTCATTATAAAACAAAATTGAAAAGATAAATTAAATTAAATTAAATTAATAAATTAAAACATTCTATACCAAAAACAATTAAATTAAATTGAATTAAATTAAATAATAAAATATATTTTCTTTAATTCATTTTTTATTTATTTCAAAATGCAGATTTCGCCACTCAGCATTTCGTTCTCCAAAAGCGGAAATTTCAAAACGACGGAAGTTAAATAAAATAAAAAATAAACGATTTTTAATAATCCAAATAATTAAATTAATAAACTGTAATTAAAGTAATTAAAACAATTAAAATAATTAAAATAGTTAAAATAATTAAAATGATAAAAGGTAATTTAATTAATTTAAATAATTTAAAACAATAAAAGTAAAAATAATGAAGCGACAAAGTCATGAATAAAAACAAAAAAGAAATATTTGAATTTAAATTAAATAAATATAAATTAAAAATAAAAGTTATTTGAAGTTCTAAATTAAATAATTAATCAAAAGAAAAAACTGTTTGAAAGCAGAAATAAAAGCCCAACTAAATGCCATTTGAAGATAAAATCAAAAGTGCAAAAAAGCATACTTTGCTGCTGCTGCAGCCTGCTGCTGCTGCAGCTTGTTGCTGCAGACTACCGCTGCTGCCGCTTGCTGCTGCTGCAGCTTGGTGCTGCTGCAGACTGCCGCTGCTGCCGCTTGCTGCTGCTGCAGCTTGGTGCCGCTGCAGACTGCCGCTGCTGCAGCTTGCTGCTGCTGCAGCTTGCTGCTGCTGCAACTTGCTGCTGCTGCAGCGAGCTGTACTTGATTGGCTGCAGCAGCAACTCGTTGCAGAGGATATTTCCTTCAATTCTACTTAAGTTTGAACATTTTCTCTTTTTAATTATTTTAAGTATTTATTTCTTTTTTCTTTTTTCAGTATTTGGCCAGCTGCTGTTTCTCTCCAGTTGCAGCACTTAATTTTTTTTCAAGTTTTTAATTTTCGCTTCGAAGATCCCGAAGTTATTTTGAATTCTTTTCAACTTCAATTATTTTGCGAAAATTAATTTATTTAATTTTATTTTTGAACTTAACTTTCAATTATTTAAAATTAATTTTAATTGTTCTGCAAAGAAGCCAACAAAGGCATCGCCGGGGGCCCCCCGAGAGCCAGGAGAAGTTCAAGAAGAGTTTTTTTAATTTTTTCTTTTTCCTTTTCTTTTTCTTGAAAAGACAAAAAAGATCCATTTCGAGCCTGAAATAACAATTCGAACTTCAAAGAGCTTTTGGCCTTTTCGTTTATTCAAATTCTCCACCTTTTGTACTTTTCAACTTTTGCATTTATTTCAACACTTCAACTTTTGCATTTAATTCATTTTTTTTAAATTCGACTTTTCAACTTTTGAATTTAATTCATTTTTTTAAATTCAACTCTCCAACTTTCAAACTTAAATCGTTTTTTTAAAAATTCAACCTTTTGATTCTTAAATCTTTAAATTTAATTTAATTTTTTAGAATTAAAATTTAATTCATTTTTTTGAAATTCAACTTTTCAACTTTTTGCATTTCAGGCCGACGCACTTGGTTGACTTTTTGCACTGCGGTTTCGAAGAAGGCGCGGAGCGTTTGTTTGTGTCTTTTTTCTGAAAGATTTGAAAAGAACAAAAAGAAACTTTTGAAACTTTTGAAACTATTTTTCGAAACTTTTGAAGAAGTCCTCACCCATTTCTTGCTGCTTTGCAACGAAGAGGCTGGTGAGCTCTTTGACTTCGTCTTCTATTTCCTGAGTTTGAAAAGGCGGAGTTCAAGTTGCGGACTTGAAAAAATCCCAAGTCCGCGCCGCCCACCTGACAGGCCTTTTCCTGTTCTTGAAAAGACAGCAGCAGCTGCTGCTTCTTCGCTCTTGCTGCTTCCAAACTCTGCGTCAGTTCTGCTGCTGCTGCATCTCTTTTGCTGCTCAGCGCAGCAAGCGAAGAGCCAATCTGCTCCCTCAGCTGCTGCTTCTTCGCTGCAGACGCCTCCAGCAGCTGCTTGTGCATATTCGAAACCACACTTTCCAGTTTCTTTTGCCTTTGCAACTGAGCTTCTGAAAACCTAAACAAAAAAGCCACTTCGCTTAATTCAAACTCCACTGCATACAAAAGTCCGGAGCTGCTCACCGCCGCTGCACAAGTTCGAGAAACGCGCCCATCTTCGTGGCGTCGCAGCCAGCGATGAAAGAGTCTAAATTCCCCAAAGCATCCATTTTCCACAGCGACAAATATAAATAAATAAATAAATATATATTATATATATATAGGTGTTAGCAACAGGAATAAATCCAACTCCCCAATTTATCGCATTATTCAAGTTCTGGTTTCAGCGCGTGCAGATCTGCACAAGGGGCGTTCAGGTGTATAGGCAGCTCGGCCGCGTTCTGAATCAGCTTTATAATTTGGACAAAAGATGAAATGGCAACAAAACGGCTCTTCAGCGTCGCTATTTCCGTTTGCATTTGATCATTTACGCTCGAGAATTCATCTTGCAGGGATATCGAAAGGGAGAAAAACAAAAGAAAGACGAATTGAATCTGCTTTCCACTCAGCGCGCGCCAACGACCAGCTGCTCACAGAGTCGAAACTCAACAGATAAGTTGAAAATGAAATGCAAAATAAATGCAATTAAAAGATAATTATGTCTTTGGAAATAAATGCCTTCAACTCGTCTCTCTGCATCTCGAGACAACCAACCCTTATCCGGAGATCAGCTTGAAACCCCAAACCCTAAACCCTGAACCCTAAATCTGAACGCTTGCAAACAGCAGCAACGTCTAGAATGCAGTTTCTCAAGAGCCATTTCAACTTCGGAAACAAAATTAGAGTTCCTTTTTCAGCGACAAAAAATCAGAAATGAGAAGTTCAAGTGCTGCTGCAGCAACTGCAGCAGCTGCAGCAGCTGCAGCCCTGCTAGGCAGTGGAGATTTCTGCTGCCAGCAGCTGTTTCGGAGTTCTTTGGAATGCAGCAGGGAGTTGCTGCTGGTTTCTCGGGGTTTAGGGTTTGGTTTGCTGCTGCTGCTGCTGCTGCTGCTGCAGCTGCTGCAGCAGCAACGCAGCTAGCTCGCTCTCCAGGGTTTCCGGGGCCCAATTTGCTGCCAGGGCCCCCCTGTCTATTTCTCGTTCTGCTGCTGCTGCTGCAGGAGAGAAAAGGAGCAGCATCACCGGACGCAGCAGAGCCTGCTGAGGGTTTAGGGTTTAGGGTTTAGACCCCGAGGAACTTAGAGAAAAAGATATGGAGTGAAGGAACTCTTGCAAAAATAAAGAAAATCTGAATGCAAAATTGAATACAGTGGAGTTGAAGGGGGGCCCTGTCTGCTGCAGCAGCAGCAGCAAAGTGGAGCAGCGCGGCCAACCTGTGGCAGCAGCAGCAGCAGCAGCAGCAGCAGCAGAAGCAGCAGCAGCAGCACAACCCTTTCTTTGCATTTGAGTTTTCTTTTAGAATTTATCAACCCCTGGAAGCTCAACAGACAGCCCAGCGGGCCCAATTCTTGCTGCTGCCGTGCTGCTGCAGCTACTGCCGTTGCTGTTGCTGCTGCTGCTGCTCAGTCCTCCTTCACTGCAGCAGCTTCTCAGGTGTCACGAGGCCTCATTTGTTTCTGCGGCTGCGACAGCGAGACTTGTAGCTCTGCCGCAGCAGCAGCAGCAGCAGGAGCAGCAGCAGCTGCTGCAGCAGCAACCAACACAGCAGCAGCTGCTGTTGCTGCTTCGCTCCCACCAGCCACCGCCACCCCCCAAGGCCTCCCCAGAGCCACGAGGGCTGCAGCAGAGCAGCAGCAGCAGCTGTCTGCCTCAATTCATTGCCCTGTCGCTGCTGCTGCTGCTGCTGCTGCAGCTGCTGCTGCAGCACGCTCTGCACCTTTCTAGGGCCTCCAGGGGCCCCCTCCCACACCCTTCTCAAGGGGCCCCCAGCGCAGCAGCCCGACGGCCCCCAACTAAGCAGCAGCAGCGGCAGCAGCAGCAGCGGCAGCAGCAGCAGCAGCAGCCACAGCAGCACGCACGAACAGGAGCTGCAGCAGCAGTTGCAGCAAATTATCTGAAAAAAAATGGCGGGCAAAGACGACTATTACGACTATCTCTACAAGAGTACATTGATGGGACGAGGGTTTGGGGTTTAGGGTTTAGGGGTTCAGGGTTTAGGGTTTAGCAGTCAGAGGGGCCGCTCGCGGATTAGGGTTTAGGGTTTTCCGCATTTGTGGTTTTCGCAGTTGTTCTCATTGGAGACAGTGGCGTGGGGAAGTCCAACATGCTCTCTCGGTGAGGGTTTCGAGCTAGGGTTTAGGGTTTAGGGTTTAGGGTTTAGGGTTTGGAGGATTCAGTGATGCAGGGTTTGTCTTTTGTGTTTTGGGCGTTTTAGAAGGGGTGGTTTCAGCGCAGTAGCTGCGGGCTCAGCGGCCCAGAGACCCTTTAGGGTTTCATATTTAGGGTTTAGGGTAGGGTTTAGGGTTTAGGGTTTAGGGTTTAGGGTTTGCGCAGGTTTACCCGCGATGAGTTCAACCTGGAGAGCAAGTCGACCATTGGAGTGGAGTTTGCGACGAAGAGTGTTTATTTAGACGAAGGCAAAGTCATAAAGGCCCAAATCTGGGACACCGGTAGGGTTTAGGGTTTAGGGTTTAGGGTTTAGGGTTTATGGTTAGGGTTTAGGGTTTAGGGTTTAGGGTTTGGCGGCGGCGGCTCAGTGAGTTTGGCGCCCGTGTTTGAGTGAGTCGCGTTCTGCGGGTCTGCGCCTCAGGCGGAGTTTGAGGGTTTGGGGCTGGGGCCTGCAGCTAGGGTTTAGGGTTTAGGGTTTAGGGTTTAGGGTTTGCGAGCAGCTGGACAGGAGCGGTACCGGGCCATAACTTCTGCGTACTACCGAGGGGCTGTGGGTGCGCTTTTGGTGTACGACATATCCAAGCGGCAGTCCTTCGACAACGTGAGGGTTTAGGGTTTAGGGTTTAGGGCCTAGGGTTTAGGGTTTAGGGTTTAGAGTTTAGGGTCAAGGGTTCCGTTTCCCGGACTCCACGCGGAATGGCTGCCGCGTTCGCTCTCCCTCTCTGCCGCCTGGCCGCGCAGCCGCGGCTGCTAGGGTTTAGGGTTTAGGGTTTAGGGTTTGGGGCGTGCAGGTGGAGCGGTGGCTGAAGGAGCTGCGGGACCACGCAGACCCTAATATAGTGGTTTTGCTCGTGGGAAACAAAACGGACTTGAAACACTTAAGAACTG